AAAAAGCTTTCATCCGTAGCAATCAATAAAACATCCTCCAGCTATATATTCATCGTGTCATTCATTACTCTAGGGGTCAGAGAGCCAACGCAGATCTGCAGTCGCGGCAAAAATATTTTTATATTTACAAACGTCTATACACAAAATATACCCCCCCCCCCAAAAAAAAGAAAAAAAGAAAAAAAGAAAAATCAGCTTTTCCACGAGAAACAAATGCACAATACGAAAAATCTATATGTGCGCGCCATAGCGCGCGTGGAGAAAAAAAAAAAAAAGAAAAAAGGTATAGCGCGAGCGTGAGTCCTTGACAAAACCGTGGACTCAATGGCGTCGTGATCGATGCGTATCTATCCCTTGGCCCTTGACCGACCAAGTCGCCGAGAGAAGCGTATTAAGTGCGAAGAAATCACCTTGAGAATCACATCGGGGCCGCTGCGTACTCGCACTATCATTGGGTTTCCGCCTTGACAATCGTATAATCGATAGGCGACCGCGAGTCTCGGATGCTCGATACCTCCGAAAGGCGGGTGACGAGCAAAAACGAGCGTGGAAGGTGAGACAAAGAACGAAACTGAACGACGAGAAAGATGGAATCGTAACGAACTCCGTATAAAGTAGCCCCGATACCCCGATCACTGCGACACTTTTTCATTGTTCACCGGCGAACCATCACCGAAAACCGGAACAAACATGGCCACGCGCAACGTTTCCGTCATTTTTTCATCTGTCGTGTTCCTCGCCGCCGTTGTCGGCTGTGTGTCCAAGGAATATAACAATTGTGAGTAGTTTATGTTTGTCGCTACCACGAAAGTGTATTCTTCTTGCATTTTTCTATCATCTTTTTTTTTCTTTTTTTTTTTCCTTGAGGAAGTGGATTAGATTCATTTATTGGATTAGGTGAATTTTAATGTTAGGATCAGGAAAATTATTACGATGAAATCGTTTCGAATTTCGGAATTTGTAAATTGGCATCGAACTGTTACGGCTTCTATTCGTCAATTCGACATTGAATATTTAGGTTTGGAAGATACCACGGGGGAAGATTATATGGATATGAAAGATAGTTGGCAAAGTTTCTAAACGCAGCGTTAAATAAGAACCAGAGGGGAACAGGAAGCGATGGATAAAGCTTGCGAATAACGGCGGGACACGGGAAGTTAGTAAACCGGATTGAACCACTATTAGCATATCGACTTTTAAAGTATTTGGAAACCACTATTCGAAAACCATTGACCGAGAAACACAGGGGTCGTAGCCAATAAAAGTAAATCCATTTGCCAAAAAAAAAAAAAAAAAAAAAAAAA